ATCGTTTTTTGGAAATAAACTGTTTCAGAAAGGTGCATTAGTATTCTTAACGAGATTTAAATGCATAAAAACACGTTTATAATGCGTAATTGTGTCTAAATAGTGCAAGAAAAATAAAATTTTATGATGACGATGGCAAATTGCAGCAATTGGTTGCTGCGTGTGATCGCGGGCGACCCGTGCTGCTGGTGTTGCGACGTAAAGTTTCTGGGCGAAATTGCCCCATCTGAAGCTGGCCTGAGTGTCGTGAGGGCCATCAGTGCGTGAGGGGCGTGAGGGGTGTGAGGGCCGCAAGGGCGGTGAGTGGCGTGAGGGCGGTGAGTGGCGTGAGGGTGGTGAGTGGCGTGAGGGCCGTGAGGGCCGTGAGGGCGGTGAGGGCCGTGAAGGCGGTGAGGGCCATGAGGGCGGTGAGGGCCGTGAGGGCGGTGAGGGCGGTGAGTGGCGTGAGGTCTATGAGTGCGTGAGGGCCGTGAGGGCGGTGAGGGCGGTGAGGGCCATGAGGGCGGTGAGGGCGGTGAGGGCTTTGAGGGCGGTGAGGGCGGTGAGGGCCGTGAGGGCGGTGAGTGGCGTGAGGGCGGTGAGTGGCGTGAGGGCGGTGAGTGGCGTAATTGTCATGAGTGAGTGAGGGGCGTGAGGACCATGAGGGCGGTGAGGGGCGTCAGCGCCGTGAGGGGCATGAGGGCGGTGAGGGGCGTGAGGGCCGTGAGGGCGGTGAGTGCGTGAGGGCCCTGAGGTTCAGTGAGGGTGAGTGAAGGGCTGAAGGTGAGTGTGACTGTGAGGGTGAGGGTGAGTGAGGGGCTGAAGGTGAGTGTAGCTGTGAGGGTGAGGGTGAGTGAGGGGTTTAGGTGAGTGTGGCTGTGAGGGTGAGGGTGAGTGAGGGCGACCTAAAATGCCGACCTCTGCTCATGGCTAACCTCCGCAGTTTCTGTAACTCCTGCGATTTACGGTATTTCTTGTAGGTTTTTGTTGTTGTTTGTTTTCCTTTAATTTTTATTCAATACTGCATAATAATGGCATTGATTGCCTTATTCACGTGTGCAAAAATGACTAGAAATGTATGCCTTTATAGAGACCTTATGTAGCCCCTCCTACCACATCTCCCGAAGGAGATATCAATACTAATATATAATAAATAAAAAATAGAAATGCTTACGGATTAAAACTTTTACTGACTGAGAAAAAGAAGGTTTTCCTGCTCAAAATTCACTGGGCTTTCATTCAAACATCGACTTTACTATAAAGCGCATGAAACCAATAGTGTTTCGTGTGCTGAGCGATGGCAAGGACGTCCTTTTGTCCACCATTTTGCCTGACCAACGCGTCCCCTTTAGGTCGGGCGGCGAAGAAAAGCTAACCGAAAAACAGTTCACCGGAGAAATGCTCACAGGAGATTTTCTAGTGGGCTCAGGGGTTCACGTAATCGGCTGTAAAGGGTCGGTCCAGAAGCAATTACCACGACGCAGTCCAATAGCTCAGTTCCAACGCTGCAATGAAACACGCGCGTGCCTGCTCCCACTGGGCACAGGTATTCACGTAGCGCTTGCTAAAACTATTGCAGTTCAGACATATCATCTTGCACATCAGCTGCCTTCTGCCTGTCCGAGGCAGCTAAAAGCATCGCCGCGATTTGTTTACATGTGCGAAGCTTTGCTAAGAAGCCATGCTGGCCGTCTCCTTTAGCAACAATGGTAGTTGTGTTGAGTTCGTTGCAGTTGACCAAAGCCCTCTGTAAAGCTGGCCTCAGTAAAGCTGGGTATTATTTCCACGTAAATCACGGTGGAGCCGACTTTTACTACGAGGACGCGCTCGCCAAACACACTTTGCCGGAAAGGCTGCCTACGTTTGTTGTGATCCAAAATCCACGTGCTCTGAACCATGCCGAGTTCTCCGATTGGTTTTTCGTCATCTTGTAAACCCTGAGATGGGGAACGATAAAAAAACGGACGAACACAACAAAATCTCGAACGCAGCTGAATTTTATTGATATGATCAACCAATAAATAAACTTTCAGACAAATGAAAAAGAGAAAGGGCAAAGAAGGACTCAGATATATAAACAAGATGACCAACGAGTTTGCCCCAGATAGCCTGAGGTACACCCTGGCTCCAACACTTTCGGAAAGGGAGCTGACCAACCGAACCACAACAACACCAAGGTCAACACAGAAGGCGACCTCTAAAAACGCTAAAGACTGATCTCCATTTCCTACATCCAAGCAAACGCTTCCCGATTTTCTTCCCCCCCTCCTCTCACACAAGCAAAAACTCTTTCATCGGATCACTGAAAATCAAGGACGGCTGGCTACCACAATTCTCCCGCTCGCGAATGCACAAAGTCTCCTTAATTAGCCTTTTTTATCGTTCCCCATCTCAGGGTTTACAAGTTGTCGATTAATTACCAGCTCGCCTCCACTCTTATCGCTGCTTACCGTTTTTTTGTGTGGCTGAAGGCCTTGTGGCTTGGTATCGGTGTCATCGGGAGGACAACATGGTATTAAAACAGCCAGCGTAGACAGAGTGGGGAAGAGAAGAGCTTGCGGGTCACCGGAATTTTGCATTTTTCTGTACGTCAACGTCGCTTTTCTCCTCCCTCTTAAACAATCAATCGTAAATACCATTTCTCCGACTTCTCACGATGTGCGTCATTCACGAACTTTTTAGCTAAGTTAGTGTTGCCTTAAAAAGTTATTCACGAATCTGGCCTCAATACTTCAAAAACCACCAGGTAATTTCATTGCAAACATTTGTGCAAGTACTTAACCTTCAGTCAAAGGCAAGAAACACAAACAAATGTCGTAAGAACAACCGTCCGAGTGCACAAAAGTTTTAACAAATAAACAAATTCAACTTAGTAAAACCTCCAAAAACACTAGATACATTTCTTCTAGACGGAGATTAGTACATTATCAAAAAAGAAAGTTTCAAGATAACGCTTTAAACAAGTGGGAAAATTAACAAAAATAGCTGCGAAAGCGGAATTTGGGAAGAGCAGTCCTGTCGGGGCAGAAACGCAATGATCGAATTGCTTCCTGTGCGGACGTAACCGCTAGCCGAGAACCAACTGACGGGTCAAGTGAAGGTGGGGGGGATTTGCTACATCCACTCCGAATGTGACGTAGGTATATCAATAGCGCCGTTTCTCCTTACGACAAGGATACGTTCACGCGCGTAAAAGTAGACACTTCCTTTCCTTTTTCTGCCGGGCACGTGTGGTGGAACCGCTTGCCGTTTCTGATTGGGTAGGCCAAAGATGAGTGAGCTTAGTTCATTCCCACAATCAGCAGACAGAGATTAAAAATCGTATCGTTATTGTGATTCAATGAGAGAACAACCGGATGCTAAGAGTGGTAACCCCCATAATCAGCTCCTACTATTCTGACTACAACGATGTGCATTTAATCCCTATTTCCATGTTTCGCATTTTGGCCGCCAGGCCGCGCCAGATTTCCCTGCCGTCACCTGCTATGATTTGGGAATAAAACAGCAGTTCCTCTAGCAACAGAGGAAAGTACGAGCACCGTCATTGCATGCTGGGTTCGCTTTATTTTTAGTTTATTATTAATATGAACAGAAATACTGATCGGGCGGTTTCCAAATATTCGCATTGAAACTGCTGTGTGGTGGTGTAATGTCGCGCGAGTAAATAAAAGCATGATCTCTTATATCACTTTTTGTCAGGTTTTCCTCTTCGTGATATACTTTCGAGATTCATTAGCTGTAACATTTTTTTTAATTTTCTTAAAATCTAGCAAATGCTGTTCTACTATCACCAATGTCGAATAAGTACTTGTTCATAGCCTTTGACGTCAAAGGCGAGCGCGTAGTAGTGGGCACAGGCAGTTAGAAATTAGTACGAAAACTTCCTTCATCGCGTTCGCGTGGACATGATGGTTGAGGATTGCCACTAAGAAAGAAGAAAAAAGAGGCAGTCCAAGTAAAACTTTCACCGAAGCTGGTCGCATTGTTCTTTTCCCTCTTCGAGTGTACTTTGTGCGCAGCACAGGCATTTTGACCGCCGGTCGATGTCATTCCAATACTCGTTTTTAATCTTTCAAATTTCCTAAGAAATCACAGGCATATGTTATTGAAAGCAGGCCATGGGTTGTAAAGCAAGCCCGCTCTTGACGTCCTATGCAGTCAATAAGATGAATAAGCAGAAACAAAAGAGCCACTACCGACGAAATTTGGGATTAAATATAGATGTTACGCATAATTGCTTTTAACTAGAGTAAGCCTTGGAAAGGAGATTAGAGGAAAATAATCATTAAAAAGCGAGTTAGGTTGTTAATATTTGTAATTATCTAAAACTTGAGAGGGAGCATATACAGAAGGAGATTAACACATGAAGATCCAGTGTGCATTTGGTATGTGTTACCAGGTCTTACTTTTTGATAATTACTTGACAAAATTAACATTATGAACTAAGAAACAAACCAGTTTTCGAATTCAAACAGTGAATTCTGAGTGTTAGATATATCAGCAAAAGTCACTTTCATCACCCAATGAGTTGTATTAAAAAAATAAGAAACGCGTTTGGTAGGATTTCGCACGGTTTACCTTCCCCCCCCCCCCCCCCCTCCGCTCTCAAATTATGTATGCTGGAATGACTGTAGACCAGCCAATACTTCAGCTTGGGTGAGTTGGTGAATCATGCTAATACTTTGCAGCGCAAAAAAAAAAACACTATAAAGCAATGTGCGCAACAAGAAATATCTCGGGCAGCGCTGCGTGGGAGTTATTTCCTTGTGTGCAAGTATTTTTATGTCGTGTTGTTTTCTCTGCGCTGTGAAGTAATAGCATCTAGACCCGTGTTTTGCTCTGTCGTAGCTCCTAATTCCTTCCCCGCAGCATTGATTTATGATAGATTTTTAAGTTAATAAAAAAAAAAAAGCTGTCTTTGTCTTATACGCGTAGCGTTTCAGTCTGTGCGTGCGAAGAGGAATGCGTACGAAAACGATCAGGAATAGGCGATTGCATGAGAGTTCTTGCTGTTTACTTACTTGGATTTATTTGGCCATCGCTGTACATGAAGACAGCGCATGCGTTTTCAGCTAAGAATATCAGATGCATGTCTGCCATTTCTGTTAATAAAAGAGCCAGAAATAGTTACAAAGATAAATTCTTTCAATATGCTTTATAAGAGTCTCACCAGTACTTGTTGCAGCGTCCCAGACAAACATACTTTCATACACTTCGGTCTTATTTTTTTCTCTAGGAGAAATAATTGCATGTTCCTAGAAAGAAACAATGTTTACGGTATCGCATTATCGGTTAAATATAAGTCTTAGAAATTCTTTTATTTGTATACACCAAACCTGAGAGACTTTTTTTACGACAATATATATAGGCTCGTATATCTGCAGTCGATCCAATCCTTATGTGGGCTATTGCAGCGCCAGAAAATAATATGTTACACACAATAACAGACAAATGTTTCGAAGTACAAAGGACACATTTGTTTATTTTGTTATATTAATGAATACGATTTCGCGAAAAATTTAAACGCCCCCGCATTCCACATTTTTATATGTTGAATGCGGGGGCGGGATATATATATATATATATATATATATATAAACAAGGACACCTCACACCATCCTACGTGGTCTCCCGAGGAGGATATAAACGCACATATACTCAGATGAATAAACCGTACTTGATCCAATGAATCAAAGAATCAAAGGTTTCAGGAACCCGCCGAAAGCCAAAATAACGGCGGCGCCAGGAATTCAACTCTGGACCTCCCAATGTCCGGTCGGATGTGCCACACACTCCACCACTCCACCTTGACTTTCTGGCGATTCCTACCCATGTTAATAATGCACAAGAAACGAAAGGTATCACTTTCATTTGTATCCATTCTATCCATTTACATTGTATCCATTTCCATTGTATCCAAATGTATCCATTTGAATTCTGGGAGGCCCAGAGTTCAAATGGATACATGGAGAGAGCAACGTATTGCAAACGCGCTGACGTCACTCCTGTGACGCCAAGCGAGGGCGAAGATGTCGACGTCATTGACGCTCTTGTTCTGGTCAGTTTCGGTTTGAAAGAGCCTGCGGGAATAGAATAATTGAGCCACAAACGCGCGCAGAAATTGTTTGTGTCTTTACTTCGCTGCGGGGTTGCAGCATATTAAGGTTGGGTTTCAATTTCGTAAATGCAATAGGCGCACTAAAAACAATATTTAAAATGTTAATTAAGAGATCTCCGTTAATTAGTCGCTTAGTTGCACAAAATACTTGGTTCCTAGTGGGCGTCAGGTCGGGTATGCTAATGGCATAACTAAAAGTGCCATAACGCAGATCTTGTTTTCGGAAAGTTTGGTTCTGATATGTATATAATTGGCGGGCACTGGCTACGACAATATATAGGTTACTTTTAATACAATTGATTAAATTGCAACACTCGCGAGTGCTTTATTACTACTTTTTCAGATAATCGCATAAATATCATAACGAAAAGGTTGTCGACGTGCGCATAGCTAACGTAGAAAACTCGAGAAAATTCAAGCCCCGAATACAATTGGCGAGATTCCATCGGAAAATCAAATAAATGTGTGTTGTATATACTAATAATATAAACACGGTCCAGAACTTGGTCTTTTTCATGTAAAAGAAAACATTATTCGTCATTTTTTTTAATGGTTAAAGGGTCCTTACAAGGACTTTTTACTGGTTTTTAATCTTCACCGAACTTGAGCGCACTAAACGTAGCGACTAAATGAATTTTTTTTCGTCGAATTCTGCTTTGTATTAAAAGTTATAGGCAAATCAAATTCACAAAAACAAGCAAAAAACAACCTCCTTCATGACGTCCTTGGTCGCTTGAGTGGCCGTGAACTAGAGGAGAGGTAGTAAGCTCAGCGAACGCTCACGGCTGCTGCACTCCGTGCAGACGGCTCGAGAGGGCGCCACTAAAGCATGTTCTGGATAGGCTGTATGAAGCGGGCAACCGGGACGGCTCGCATTGCATTTGCTACGCGATTAAACACTAATTCGGCATGACACTTCATAAACCACAAACGGCAGCAAACACTGGGTAAATATCAGTCCAGAACGGGAGCCACTTCACCCTGCCATGCCGCTAAATCGCCCAACCGCAAGACAAACCTGCTCGCCGAAAGCATTCGGAACGCTCAGAACCGGCCGGATCCTGAAGCCCATATACGACCGCAGCGCCGCCGCGTACATCCGGGACCTCCCTACGCTCGCCGCTCGTCAGTGCCTTATCCCACTACCCCTTTCTAGTGTGCGCCGCCTTTTTCACCTATTGTGGGCGGGTATGTCGACGGGTCATTTTTTGTTTCCGTACTTTATAAACTGCATTTGTTCGTTTTATGATGTAAAATACTGAACAAAAACTACTTTCATAAATATTTGAAACGGTTCGCGCCACTTACATTTTGTATTTCAACTAAAAAGAAGCTTTTAGCTGTTCTGACCAGTAGTAAGCCAAGGACCAATGACTTCACATATCGCGCGCTTTCGGCACCGCGAAACGCCTCCGTAGGTGGACGAGGAGGTTTCCGCGTCGACCGTTTAAAATATAAAGCACTGATATTTAGTTACTCTCTCCGTGTTCGCTGGAAAACCCGAACCCCAATAAGTGTGGAAACCACAAAAAATGTAGATGCTTAAATATGATGGCAGGGCCCCTTTAATCTTATTCGTAAACTTTCACCAATCATATACCGTTCCTTTGTGTCTATCCCAGGTGTATCCTACATAAGCGAAATAGGAACGAAATGAGTTGCGCTTCAGGTGCTCTCCTATGTTCCGTTCGACATTAGGAATGACCGCAGGCCGCGGCATGATCCGATGGAGTCAATCACGCAGTTCCAAAAGTGCGTCGTCATGGTGCTCGTCGTTCTCGTGCGGTCGCTATCGCTGGAATCACGCGCAGGTAATGCTCCGCGGTCCTGTGCACTTTTCTGCCTGATTGGTTAAACCGAAAATAACAAAAGTAAAAAAAAAAAAAAGATCAGCGCTATAGTAGGTATTTACTGGACGCTATATTTGAGGGCGTTGTTTAGAGCGCATGCTCAGAACGAGCTCACATTAATAGCCTGCTAAGACCGGCAACCTTGATGGTGGTAAATGAACGCTGCAAAAGGACTGCGAAGCTCGCCGTGAGCACGCGCTCAGCAGCAGCGCACACGGATATGGCCGCCAGTGAATACTCCCTATAGCAATGCATCTTCGGCACCTTTCGACGGGGTTAACTGGATTGTACCATTGGTTACGGTCGAACCTAAAAAGAGTTTTAGGGAACCGTTTTTGCAGACCCAAAACGGTACAGTGGGCCCTTCGGCACGAACTGCGTATGTGCTACCGCATAAAAATCGCGCATGCGAGTCTCATGCTTAATTCGTCCCGGAGGGCCCATCGCACCACATCGGATGTGCGAAAACGGTTCCCTAAAACTCTCTAATGTGAAACGGAGCATAGTTTTTGCTTACCGGTGCTTGTTTTGATATCTTCAGATATCGGCTTTAATTGGATAACCGAGCTAAATAAGAAGATTCCTGCACTGATTTCTGTTTTTGATATACAATTACTTGAACTGATACGTGCTGCGTGGCTAGCGGCCGTAAGGACGCTCTTGTCGCGTTCGTGAATGCGTGACACAGTTTCGATTCTGCGCCGCCGTTGGCTCTTTACTCTGCCAAGCACGACCAGTGGAGAATTTTACCCGGTGCTCAATGAACAGCGTTAGACGTTATGCGCTAGATAATATCAGTCATAAAAGTCGCCCTTAAATGAGGCCTGACAGCGTGTGTGTGTGTAGGGAGGGATGGGGGGGGGGGTTACTCTTCGGGTAGCAGCGGACGGGACATAGCTGGTCGAATATTGGCAGTATCAGTAATCAGGTTTTGAATAAAAAAGACACGACCTTTCCCAAAAAGATTTTTGTATGAGAGATTTTTTTTTGTAAATAAGTGACGGGGAACCCATGCAAAAATATCAACCCAACCCCCCCCCCCCCCCCCCCTCAAAGAGAAAGGTCGGTTTATAGGTTTCCTGTGCATAACTTTCAGTAGAACTACGGCCACAGTTGTAGTGATGCCCAGTCGCTACAGCCGACGATGTCGGGTGCGCATTACGTGAATGCCCGCAGCTCGGTGTCCGGTAGAGGCAAATGTGCACCCCCCGCGCCGTCGTCTCCGAGGCGCAAATGCTGACTTCCCTGCGATTGTAACGCTTCGGCCAGTCGGGGGAGAGATTCGCGTGAACTGCCCGTGCCGCGAGTTCGGCCGCTTGGCCGCTGTCCAGAGAATTGAGCCAAGATTGCCGAACCACGGCTGCCGGAGCAGCATCCATTGCCGTTTGAAGCAGACAGGAGCGCGTGGCGTTAACGCGAGCAAACGAGCAAGCCATCAGATTAAAAAAAAAAAAAGGCGCGTGCGCACAGCGCGATTCTCGGCAGTAGGTGCGCGCTGTCAGGAAGCACTTCGGTGTTATCTGTGTGGCGTCACTTCCGTGACAAAGTTTTCGTGACATCGACCTCTTTACTTTGCAGCCCGTTCCAAGTGCAGAACAAAACGTACGTAAAAAATGTAGTACATAAAAAAGTGACAAGGCAGTGACCTCAGTACTGTGACGTAATCAGTGCCATCTGAACTTGACACATGACGTGGCGTATTTGTTGCGTTACGCGTCATATTGCATCACCTGGTCCACTTGAGGCGATGCGACATGAGCCTTCAAGACTTCGTAGAAACGAGATCGGAGCGAAGTTAACGGCACCTTTGCGCATTTCATTCTGAGATGCAATGCAAAGGCGGTTTTTTTTTTAAATATTGTAAATAAAATATTTATGTTCAATGATAAGTGCACATTCTTTATTTTACTGAAAGTAATTGCATTGGTAATGTAATTGCGCTTTAGTCTGAGGAATCGCAACGTCTGAATTAACCTTATAGTATTTTCCTAAATGGTTTGTCAAACTGCAGCCTCGTGCTATAGTGCCACTGGGAGAGGAAAATAGAATCAACTTCTGGGGGCCTTATTTTGTTTCTGGCAAATCGTGAAAGAAGTGTTTATGAGCACCAACACTGCGTCAAAGCACCGACT